AACACTTCATCCAATTCATCACTTTAGCAATAATCATCTCTGTTAAAATTGACATCAATCTTCTTACTTAACAAAAACATTGAAATCATGGACATGGTGTGAAAGGACTCTGCAACATAACTAACATAAAGGGTGTAATTAGGATGGTTTAATTAAAAAGACATACATAAACGAAATATTGGTAAGAAAAACACACCATAATTAAACAGTCTGATCCCAATTGATGCTAGCATTAGTATTCATATACGACACCCTAAATCACCTCCATGAAGCCTTATCAAACCCTAGTAGATTGATTAGTGTAATTAAAGAGAAGAGAAATATTTTAGGTAAATTAGGGGTCTGAATTAAAGGTATGCACCAGTAGTTGTGCCTAGATCAGTTGCACAGGAAGACTAATATTCCAGAAACCCACTTCAAGGTTACATTAATGTGATGGAGTCCAATGTGCAATGTTGAACTGCCTAATCGTACATTCTGATGAAAAGTTTCAATGATACAAGCGAACGATTACCTTAATTTTCGCTTCCCACCAATGGTCCGGGGCGTGAATTCTTCCGGTACCCGATCGGTACTCAATTCCAGTGCATCACAACAACTCGAATAGGCATTTGTGATCCGTTCTCAATTTATTCCAATAGTTCTTCATCTGCGATACAGTCTAATCCTTCCCCGTAGAGGCATTGAACATGGCTGCTATACGATGCCATCCTATCGAGGAGAAGCATTTGCCTCGTCGATGGCCTTTAGCTACAACTAATTCGCAGGTATCGATGAATACTTTGTGCTCTAGTTGGTTCCACCTCGCTATCTTACGCACCCTGCCCTGGGCTGCCTGTGACTGAGACGGAGCAGAGTGCAACTTATTGGGGGCTCCCACTTGTGAACCACTGGCATGGGAAAATTGGTGTAAGAGTCAGGTTATAATGCAAGTAAAACGGAGAAAACGACAAGGCAAAAGTAGTTTCCGTCTTCGTTGACATGGGAAATCGTATTTGGCGGGTATGCAAAAATGTCTCAAAATATGATGTTAATTTCCAAGTTCTGCAGTCGGTATGTAATGCAGGTAAAACGGAGAATTGGGTAGCGCAAGAGAAGTTTCCGTCTAAGTTAAAGTTTCAATTCGTACTGCCGGCTATGCTATAATGTGTCGACATATGCTGTTAATTCACGTTGAACCCATGTGTAGAACATGATAGTAGTTTTAATGTTGTAGCAAATTCACACAGTTAGGGCGCCGGAAATGCACAGTACGAAGAGTGGCTTACCGTTTGGTCGGGGGAACTTTGCCACGGGGAGAAGTTTTTTTCCATGGAAGCCGCTCAGAAATTGGTGCTGGACGCCGAATATGTAGCCGCAGAAGCTCCGGATCGATGTGTAGAACCCTCCCTCTCGTACAGAAAATTGAACTATCTCCACGAAATCAGACACGGTGAAGATGAAAATTAGGTTGGGTGTTCGATTGGCAGTAGCGAAATGAAGCCGTAAGGCTACTGGATTAAACGCCTGTTCTGGTTTGGCCAGTGATTGGTGTTGAAAATTCCTGTGGCGCGAGTCTCTACCGATGGTTCGAAGGAGTAGGTGGAAATGTCAGGTTAGGGAAAATGACGTATGAAGCAATTACTAATGGGGACAAAACAGGAAAGAAAATACAACGGCTAGAAGGACACAAAAATTGGGAATCTGACGGATTAATTGACTTTGGGGGAGAGTTGTCAGTGCAACACTGTTGTGAAATTAGTTTTTGGACAAAAAACGGGTTTCAAACAGAGTCTTAATTTTTTTTTAATGAAAATTTTGATAACGATTCGAATTTTAATAGATAGAAAATGGGTCGTTACAGTTTGGTATCAGAGCTTTAGATTTAATTTTCTTATAGACTAGTGTATTTTTCATAACTTGA